ACACAAGGTTTCGCGTGCACTGGGACTCAGGGCAAAGCAGTAACTCCATAGGAGCCTGGGCCAGACCCACCTGTGGGTCTTGGAGGGTCTCCTGGGGAGGTGGGGGTCAGCTGTGGCTCATTGTGGAGGCAAGGACACTGGTGGTGGATGCCCCAGGGAATACCCATCAGCGTGAGCTCTCCCAGAGGTTGCCATTTTGGCACTGAGACCAGACATCACCAAACAGCCTGCACTTCTCCAGTGCTGGGACACCTCAGGCCAAACAACCAACAGGGTGGGAACACAGGCCCACCCACCAGAAGACAGGCTGCCTAAAGACATCCTGACCCCACAGCTGCTTATAAACACAAATTTTGACACGAGCCAGCCCACCAGAGGGATATGACCCAGCTCCACCCACCAGTGGGCAGGCACCAGTCCCTCCCACCAGGAAGCCTGCACAAGCACCTGGACCAACCTCACACACCAGGGGGCAGACACCAGAGGCAAGAACTATAATCCTGCAGCCTGAGGAATGGAGGCCACAAACACAGAAAGTTAGACAAAATGAGACGACAGAGAAGTACAGCTGTTCCACTATGAGATTAGAAATCAATGACAAGAAAAAAACTAAAAAACACAAACACATGTAGGTTAAACAATATGTTACTAAACAACCAATAGATCACTGAAGAAATCAAAGAGGAAATAAAGAACTACCTAGAGACCAATGAAAATGAAAACACAATGGTCCAAAGCCTATGGGATGCAGCAAAAGCACTTTTAAGAGAGGGAAGTTTATAGCAATACACTCTTACCTCAGGAAAGAAGAAAAATCTCAAATAAACATCCTAACATTGTGCTTAAAGCAACTAGAGAAAGAAGAACAAGCAAAACCCAAAGTTAGGGACTTCCCTAGTGGTCCAGTGGTAAAGAAACTGCCTTCCAATGCAGAGGACACGGGTGCGATCCCTGGTTGGGGAACTAAGATCCCACATGCTGCAGGGCAACTAAGCCCACACACCACAACTACAGAGCCCACATACCCTGGAGCCCACACGCCACAACTAGACAGAGAAAACCTGCATGCCACAACTAGAAAGAAGCCTGTGTGCCGCAATGAAGATCCCACACACTGCAATGAAAGATCCCACATGCTGCAACGAAGACCCCACGTGCCACAACTAAGACCCGACACAGCCAAAAAATAATTAATTAATTAAAATTTTTTTAATAAAAACCAAAGTTAGTTGAAGGAAAGAAATCATAAAGATCAGAGCAGAAATAAATGAAATAGAGATGAAGAGAACAATAGAAAAGGTCAATGAAACAAAAAAGTCAGTTCTTTGAAAAGATAAACAAAATTGATAAACCTTTAACCAGACTCATCAAGAAAAAAAGGGAGAGGGCTCAAATCAATAAAATTAGAAATGAAGAAGGAGGAGTGACAATGGACACCACAGAAACACAAAGGATCATAAGAGACTACTACAAGCAACTATATGCCAATAAAATAGACAACCTAGAAGAAATGGACAATTTCTTAGAAAGGTACAACCTTCCAAGACTGAACCAGGAAGAAATAGAAAATATGAAGAGACAAATCACAACTACTGACATTGAAGCTGTAGTTTAAAAACTTCCAACAAACAAAAGTCCAGGACCAGATGGCTTCACAGGAGAATTCTATCAAACATTTAAAGACTTAACACCTGTCCTTCTGAAACTCTTCCAAAAAATTGCAGAGGAAGGAATACTCCTAAACTCATTCTATGAGGCCACCATCACCCTGATACTAAAACCAGACAAAGATACTACAAAAAAAGAAAATTACAGGCCAATATCACTGATGAACATGGATGCAAAAATTATCAACAAAATACTAGCAAACCAAATCCAACAATACATTAAAAGGATCATACATCATGATCAAGTGGGATTTATCCCAGGGATGCAAGGATTTTTCAATACCCACAAATCAGTCAGTGTGATATACCACATCAACAAATTGAAGAATAAAAACCATATGATCATCACAATAGATGCAGAAAAAGCTTCTGACAAAATTCAACACTCATTTATGATAAAGACTTTCCAGAAAGTGAGCATAGAGGGAACTCGCCTCAACATAAAAAAAGCCATATGACAAATCCACAGCTAACATCATACTCAACGTTGAAAAACTGAAAGCATTTCCTCTAAGATCAGGAACAAGACAAGGAGGTCCATTCTCACCACCATTATTCAACATAGTTTTAGAAGTCCTAGCCATGGCAATCAGAGAAGAAAAAGAAATAAAAGGAATCCAAATTGGCAAAGAAGTAAAACTGTCACTGTTTGCAGATGACATGATACTATACACAGAAGAGCCTAAAGATGCTACCAGAAAACTACTACAGCTCATCAGTGAATTCGGTAAGGTTGCAGGAAACAAAATTATTACACAGAAATCTCTTGCATTGCTATACACTAACAACAAAAGATCAGAAAGAGAAATTAAGGAAACAATCCCATTTACCATCGCATCAAAAAGAATAAAATACCTAGGAATAAACCTGCCTAAGGAGGCAAAAGACCTGTACTCTGAAAACTATAGAACACTGATGAAAGAAATTGCAGATGACACAAACAGATGGAAAGATACACCATGTTCTTTGATTGGAAGAATCGATATTGTCAAAATGACTATACTATCTAAGGCAATCTACAGATTCGATGCAATCCTTATTAAATTACCAATGGCATTTTTCACAGAATTAGAACAAAAAACTTTACAATTTGTATGGAGACACAAAAGACCCTGAATAGCCAAAGTAATCCTGAAAAAGAAAAACAGATCTGGAGGAATCAGACTCCCTGACTTCAGACTATACTACAAAGCCACAGTAATCAAAACAGTTTGGTATTGGCACAAAAACAGAAATATAGATCAATGAACAGGATAGAAAGCCCAGAAATAAACCCACACACCTATGGTCAATTACTCTATGACAAGGGAGGCAAGAACATACAGTGGAGAAAGGACAGTCTTTTCAATAAATGGTGCTGGGAAAAATGGACAGCTACAGGTAAAAAATGAAATTAGAACACTCTCTAACACCATACACAAAAATAAACTCAAAATGGATTAAAGACCTAAATGTAAGGCCTGATACTATAAAACTCTTAGAGGAAAACACAGGCAGGACACTCTTTGACATGAACTGCAGCAATATCTTTTTCAATCCACCTCCTAGAGTAATGGAAATAAAAACAAAAATAAACAAGTAGGACCTAATTAAACTTAAAAGCTTCTGCACAGCAAAGGAAACCATAAACAAAACAAAAAGACAACCCACAGAATGGGAGAAAATATTTGCAAATGATGAGACCGACAAGGGACTAATCTCCAAAATATACAAACAGCTCATGCAGCTCAATATAAAAAAAAAACCAACCAAATAAAAAAATGGGCAGAAGATCTAAATAGACATTTCTCCACAGAAGACATAGATGGCCAAAAAGCACATGAAAAGATGTTCAACATCACTAATTATTAGAGAAATGCAAATCGAAACTACAACCAGTCAGAATGGACTTCATCAAAAACTCTATAAACAATAAATGCTGGAGAGGGTGCGGAGAAAAGGGAACCCTCCTACACTGTTGGTGGGAATGTAAATTGGTAATATCATTATGGAGAATAGTATCGAGGTTCCTTAAAACTAAATAGAACTACCATATAATCCACCAATCCTGCTGCTGGGTATATATCTGGAGAAAACCATAACTCAAAAAGATATATGCACCCTAATGTTCACTGCAGCACTATTTACAATAGCGAAGACATGAAAGCAACCTAAATGTCCATCAACAGATGAATGGATAAAGAAGATATGGTACCTATATAGAATGAAATATGACTCAGCCATAAAAAAGAATGAAAGAATGCCATTTGCAGCAACATGGATGGACCTAAAGTTTATCATACTAAGTGAAGTAAGTCAGACAGAGAAAGACAAATATCATATGGTATCACTTACAGGTGGATTCTAAAAAAATTGATACAAATGAACTTATTTACAAAACAGAAACAGACTCACAGACTTCAAAAATAACTTACGGTTATCAAAGGGAAAAGGTGGGAGGAGGGATAAATTAGGTGTTTGGGATATAACATATATACATTACTATATATAAAACAGATAATCAACAAGGACCTACTGTATAACACAGGGGACTCTACTCAGTATTCTGTAATAACCTATATGGGAAAAGAAACTGACAAAGAACGTATATATGTATACGTATAACTGAATCACTTTGCTGTACACCTGAAACTGACACAACACTGTAAATCAACTGTACTCTAATATAAAATAAAAATTAAATTAAAAAAAAACAAAAAATAAAGCAATTAGCCAAATCCAGAATATAAGAAATTACAGTTTCTTCTACAAATAAATGGCATTTTTAAAAAGAAAAGCATGGAGCAGCAATTATAAACTAAGGGAGAAATAAGAGGTACTTTAACCAAATGCAATGTTTGAATTCTGACTCAAAGAAACCAATTATAAATTGACTTTTTAAAAAAAATAAATAGCTAAAAATCAGACGTGGATGTATATTGGTTGATATTAAGGAATCACTGTTAATATTGCTGGGTATGATGATGGTTATTCTTTAATAGTCCTTATCTGTTAGAGATACTCATTAAAGTATTAACTGAAGAATGACATGCTAAGCTTTTCCTTAAAATACTCCAGTGAATGCATGTGCACACAGACACACATACATGAAGTTGTAAGGATAACAGATGAAATCAGATTTGCAGAATGTAGGTAACTGTTGAAGCTGGGTGAAGGGCACATAAGTGTTCTTTACAGTCTTTTCCCTAGTTTTGTGTATGGCATGTGTGTGTGTGTGTGTGTGTGTGTGTGTGTGTGTGTGTGTGTGTATGTGTATGGTTTTAAAATTTCACAGCAAAGACTTTTTAAAAATAAGGAAGCAGAGTGGGATGTGTAAAGAAACCAGAGTCCTACCTCATAAGCTTGTCCAATTTCATAATCCGTGAAAAATGCGATTGAGGGCTTAGCTAGAAACATTGGAGTATCAGCACAACTGTGGGAGGGCAAGAGAGGATGAGAAAGGCTGTTAGTTTCATCCATGTGACTGATTCATGGAAAACAAATACATCCAAGCCATCAAAGAGATAGGCAATGTGTCATCTGTTGGCTTCTGTTGTTGTTAAAGCAGGTCACAAAAGAGTTTTACAGCAAGATCAAATCTTTGTGAAAACACATATATCTACGTATTTCCTTTTCAATATGCATAGGAAAAACTCTGGAAGCTTAAACACCAATACGTTAATTAGGTTTTTAATATAGGTGCTAGTTTTCTTGGCAAATCTTTTCTGATTTTTCTTAATAAAAAGATATTTAATAAAGAAACATTAATCGTTTTAAATCCATTAAAATTATGAACCAGTGAAGCAACTCATTCCCTTCGTACGGACAATTATTGAAATATAGCCAAAGGCACTCTCTTAAAGAAAAATCACAATTTATACTAATTATTTGTCATTACACAGATTTTAAACATTTTTATTATCCAAGACACATGAATTTAATGTAAGGAGCACATGGCTATAGAAATGTCTCCCATTTGATCCAGACCATTCAGATATAAACAAGGGCCAACACTAATCCCTATTCCTCAAGACTCTGGCAGGTCAGAAGAGCACAACCCAGGACTCTGGGGGTGTCCAAAGGCCACGCCTGAGGGCAGCCCCGAAGCCCTGCTCTATTCGGATACTGACACCCCACCCCCAAACGTCTAGGATCCTCCAGAAGCCAAAGCAGACTCAGGACCTTCTGAGTTTTCCTCTGCAGGGTCAGATTTTCTGAGAATACGAGTCAGGAAAAAACACACCTCTCTTCCAGCTCTCCATCCTGGAATTCTCCTATCAGTGCTGGCTTCTTGGGAGGAAACAGAAGAGACGTGCCTCCAAACGGAGTGTTAGGAGGGAAAAAGCGAGGGTTTTTCAGGAAGCGGTTCCGACTCTCCATCCTGGCGAGCAGAAGCCGCTCCAGCTGCCTCTGGGGCACACGTAAATGGTTCATCCAGTTTTTATTCTTCGGTGAACCTGTTTTCTTTGAAACACGAGAAAAGGATAGCGTCAACGACAAGCGGGGGGGCTGTGTGTGTTGATATCTTGCTGACTTCATGATCCACAGGTGGCCAAGGACACCCTCCTCTCTATTTTGCTGTGGCTTCATCACAACGTCGTGTGTCACCAGGAGCCCCTTCCCCCTTGTCATCGCCCTGCCTCACCGTCCACACACTCACAGGCGTCAGCACTCACCTCGGCAGTTGCTCTGGATCTGAGCTTGCCCTTAAAAGATGAGTCCCATGTCAGGCTGTCCATGGTGTAGTCTGTCTCCTCTTCAGACTGAGAGGGCATCTTCCTGCAGGCAAGCTTCTTGGTCAGCTCTTTCTTTGGGACAGAACGTTTCTCACAACTAAATGTCAGTTTTGAATATCCAGGGACAAAGGCACCTGTGGCACCAGGAAAAAAAATAAGTTACTATACCAAGGTGACGAGGCGGACGCTTCCAAGATGACTTAATGAAACCACCAAAGGCACAGTTAGCTTGGTATTCTTTTTCCCCTAAATGTTCATATTTCCTACCCCAGATGTAATTGCCCTTCAGTGTATCAATTACTCCTGGAACTTACTCTGCATCCTCGAGACTTAGGACTAGAGTGTTCATACATTTGTTCAGTTGCCAAACATGGTCAAGAACATGAGTGGACCATTGTCACGCACACGCATGTACACGTACATCATATGTGAACATGCTTTTTTAAAGGTTCACATGACAAATCAAAGTTTGTATTAGCTTTTTAATACCTATAAGATCATCTCCAAAAGGTTAAATGAGAACATTCAATATTGCTAGCAGGAATGCAATGAAACTGGTACCATCACATTTCCTAGCACAGTGCCAGGTAAATCCTCAATACACGTTAAATCCATCCTTACTGATCTACCTAAGATACTGAGTGTCCAGCCAACTTTAAAATACTAAGTGGCTTGGGACTTCCCTGGCGGTCCAGTGGTTGCAACCCCATGCTTCCACTGCAGGGGGCATGGGTTCCATCCCTGGTTGGGGAACTAAGATCCCGCATGCCACACAGTGCGGCCAAAAATGATAATAAAAATAAAAATAAAATAAAACAAAATAAAATAATAAGTGGTCAAGTACCCCATGGCACTTGGTTCTGCTACCTCTTTCTGGCCTCACTTCTCTGCATGGCCCAGGCCGTCAGTGCAACTCTTTCCTCGTCAGCACCCTCAATTCTCTGGATCCCAGTCCTTCCAACCCAAATGCCTTCTCAGCTCCGGTCCCCCAGAGATCATCAGAGTCCCACTGACCGGGGCTGCTGACAAGCTCGTCTTTGGAGCCTGGCACCGCTAGGCCGCCATCCCGATGTTTGGCCGCAGGATCTACATGGCGGCTCTTCTGAAATTCTACCTTGCTGCTTAAGCCCACAACACAGCCTCCCACTCCACTCATTTTCAGAAGATATTGCCTCTACAGCACAGAAAACTGGCCCAGTATCACACACACATCCTTCTCCGCCTCCCTACCCAAACTTCCTTCCACACTCAAAGTTGCTCTTGGCCTGTAAGGGGTATGCAGAACCCCCAGGTCCGTGTTCTGACTCCATCAGAAACTTGCTCCCTGGCTCATATGTCTTCAGACCCTCCCTGTCTTGGTTCATTCAACTCCATTTCTAAACATTTTCACATCCTGTTGTTGGGCAACGGACTAGAGAGTCAGATTCCGCATTGAGGAGCTGAGACTTTTATCTTGTACATGTTAGGGAGCTAGTGAGGAAGTGGCACGCTCAGAGCTGACCCTCCCAAGAGCCACTACCAAATTCAAGAAAAGTGGGAAAAAACATCTATGAACAAGGAAATAGCAGCAAAGGTGGCTGGTGTGGTCCCACTACTACAGAACTTCCCTGGAATGGTATCAGAGGCTCGAAGAGAGCACAAAGAGAGCACAGAGGCATTACCTTTAGGTGCAGAGCAAAAGGGCACTGTATCGCTGTAGTAATCATTCGGGCAGATCAAATGATGCTTCTGTAGCAACTCGTTGTCCACACACCACCTGAAGATGGTCTTCACTACACAGACGAGAATGAGAAAAGGTGTTTCAAGGCACACTGACGTCAAAGAAACTACACCCAAACTTTCTTCATCCTCCAAGCCTAAACCACCTAACAAAATTCTTAGAACCCTGTGGTCATTTTGAGATTTAAGAAACTAACCAGCAAGTATTTAAGTTGGCCACTTAAAAGAGGCCAACCATTGGGCAAGGCTGTGTGGTGGTATTATTTGAGCTAAAATACAGTTACTTGCAGAGAGGTCTATAACAAAACAGAGTTAGGAGAAACAGGGTAGATTGATGAGTGGCCCCAATTCTTCACTCTTCTCTGTATCCATGCCCCCTGCCATGTGAGTGTTTAGTTCCTGCTACTAGGGACAGAGCCCACTTCTTCACCCTTGACTTTGGCCATGTGATGTGCTTTGACCATGAAAGGCTGGCAGGATTTTGAAAGGTGCTCATGCAGCTGAGCCTTCCCTCTTGTGCCTTTGCCATCATCCTGAGAAGAGCTCCTGCCCCTTCATCCTGGACCCCAGCAGGAGTCCACGTGGAGCAGACCTGAGCCCAACCTGCAGCAGGGAGCCAAGTTCAGCTGGACCCACAGCTGGACGCTGATCTAGCCAGCCAAGCCCAGCTAGATCAGCCAACCCCCAACCGATTGGCAGACACATGAGAGGAAATCTCATTTAATAGAGTGGGAAGTTGATATTATCTATGGTTGATGAGCCAGGAAACAGTAGAAAAGATGTGTTATTTAGAGGTTTCCGGAAGAATTAGAGCTAAAAATGGCCATTTCTGACAAGTGGACTGAAGTTGGGAGAGGTGAGGTGGAGGATTTTTCAATAGACTTTTTTAGAGCAGTGGTAGGTTTGCAGCAAAATTGAGGGGAAGGTACAGAGATTTCCCATATACCCACTTCCCCCCACCACATGCAGAGCCTCCCCCATTATCAACGTCCCCCATGGATGGTACATTTGTTACAACTGATGATCCTACACTGACACATCATTGTCACGTGAAGCCCGCAGTTTACATTAGGGTTCACTCTTGGTGTTGTGAAGTCTATGGGTTTGCACAAATGTGTAATGACATACGTAGGTGGGGGCTTTTTTATATTTCATTAGAAACGATTTGTTTTTTTTTAAACCATGTACACGACTACTTTGATAAAAATTAAGGAGTAAACAGGGTGAATGGAAGACTTGAAAGTTTTCAAACTTTACTGCTTGCTCCATTAACCAACATGGTGCCTTTAAATGGCCTTTCCCTCCAGACATTCCCTATAACCAAAGGTACAGGTGAGACAAGTGAAGAGCACATGTTTCTCCCATCAAATATGTTAATTTAAGAACTTTGAGATTTGGCCTATTACTGTAATAGTCAAGTTTCGACAAGGAAAACAGGAATTACTCTATGTATACCGTATACAAAGGGGTTAAGGGAATTCCCTGGCAGTCCAGTGGTTAGGACTCTGCGCTTTCACTGCCGAGGACACAGGTTCAATCCCTGGTTGGGAAACTGAGATCCCACAAGTCACGCGGCACGGCCAAAAAAGGGTGGGAGGGCACTTGTTGAACGCAGAGGATTACAAAGTGGGAGAGAGGTCAGGGAATTCATCATTAACAACTTCAGCCAGCAGCACTGAAGCAGGGGGCTCTCAGGACGTGATCTGGACTCTGCTCTGAAACTCACAGCTGCTCGGTCATCTGCCTGCTACTGCTTCTGGAGAACAGAGGCCTCCCCTTCCAAAACTCACCAAGAGCCTCTCATCAGTGACCGATCCCGGAACCACAGGTAAAAGGTCCATTCTGGGAACACGTGGATCCCTGGCCCCTCCTCTGCAATACAGAGACCTCACCAGGGAGTGACAGCAATGCCAACTGACACAGTCCAGCCCAGTTCCCAAGTACTTTGGTGATGGCCTATTTGAAATATTAAAAGATAAAATAAAGCTTCCAGATAAAGGGCAAAGGCCATGCTGCAAGGAGATGTATCCTCTGTCTTCGGATACCATTACTCCCACGGTTCTCCCCCAGGGTGTGGGCAGTTCAGTGCTGTGTCTGGGGGTGGGAGCGGCAGTTTCTTATCAGGTCTTTGGGAAGTTTCTCTCCACATCAGGCCTGGTCCATGGACCAGGTGAGCCTTGGGCACCCTGAACTGGCCTTGTGACCATCTCCTTCCACCTGGGAAGGGTGGGCTTCCTACATGGACCCTGCTCCTGAGCACGGCTCTGCCAGGAGCTGGCTGCTCCATTCCCCAAAAGATAATACAGATAAGATAGCAGCAAGGCTGGGACTTCCCTGGTGGTTCAGTGGTAAAGAATCCGCCTTCCAACGTAGGGGACTCGGGTTCGATCCCTGGTCAGGGAACTAAGATCCCACATGCCATGGGGCAACTAGGCCTGCGCGCACCCCACAACTGGAGAGAAGAACTAGAGAGAAGCCCGCATGCCACAGTGAAAGATCCTGCATGCCGCAACTAAGACCCTATGCGGCCAAAAATAAAAAATAAATAAGATAGCAGCAAGGGAAGGGAACAAAAGCACAAGACGTTCTGCTGAATTCTGATCTTTCTCCCTCTGTCTGGAGAATTTACGCATGTTTTCCACCATGTGACGTTTGTATCAGCAAACAGAGAAAGTCTGCTTCTGTGCCTCAAATAAATATTTCAGGGGAATGTCCTTACCATCAATCATCCAAGTTATAAAAGGGGTTCTTGGGTCACCTCGCCCTGCCCTGAGAAGCAGAGACCAGAGGGGTGTCCAGGGAACTGGATTAAGGTCTCTACTTCTGCTACTTTTGAAATAAAAAAGAGAAACATTGCCAGCAGAAGGCTGAGAAACCAGGGCAGATAATGTCTGATTACAACTTAATATTATCTTGGGTAAAAACATAAAATGAAGGTCACTGGGAAACTCTCCTGGCTGATGTTCATTTCACAGTTCTCAATGTTTTATTCCACTTTCATTAAAAATAAACAAAGAAGGGCTTCCCTGGTGGCGCAGTGGTTGAGAATCTGCCTGCCGATGCAGGGGACACGGGTTTGAGCCCTGGTCCGGGAAGATCCCACATGCCGCGGAGCAACTGGGCCCGTGAGCCACAATTACTGAGCCTGCGCGTCTGGAGACTGTGCTCCACAACGGGAGAGGCCGCGATAGTGAGAGGCCCGCGCACCGCGATGAAGAGTGGCCCTCGCTTGCCACAACTAGAGAAAGCCCTCGCACAGAAACGAAGACCCAACACAGCCAAAAATAAATAAATTTAAAAATAAGCAAACAAATAATTACTTAATCTCCCCTGATCTTTAGCCAAAAGAATCCTACCAAAGACGGGGACAGTATCAGACTCCAAGGACTCAGTGGATGTCAGGCAATCAATAAATCTTCCTGAGAATCTGCTACCAATAATCTCTGCCTAAATCCACGACTGAGGAAGGGGGCCTGGCAGCTACACGACTCTGCTGCAGAGAAGGGGCAACAGGAGGAGATATGGATTCTACACTGAGTGTTCACTGTCTAATGGGGCTGGGCCTCAGAGGGGGCAGACCTGACATGGCATGGGGCCTCACACTCAGAGCCACACCCGAGGGGAAGTCATCCACACCCGTGTGACACTGTGCCTGGACAACAGGCCTTCCTCCTCCTCTTGAGAGAAGAAAGAGATGGGCTTTGACAGCAGATACAACTTCAAATCTGGGTCCCAGCCTTTCTGAGCTGTGGGAATTTAGGGAAGTTACTTGAGCTCCTCTCTCAGCTCCTGTAAAATGGAGAGAAAACCTACCTCGCAGGGTTGTTGGAAGGATTCAGTGGAATAACATGTGCAAAGCATCTTACCCATCCTCTGGTCCTCAGCAGGACCCCATGAGTGTAATGCTTTCCAAAGCCACTGTATCTTCCACTTCTCCCTCCCTCCAGGCCACAGATATGTCAGGTCTCCCAACCCTAAAAGCACTGTCCCTACTAACCTGGAAAATGATGATTTTCAGGGATGTAGGAGGATAAATCAAAGACTTTGGTGGTGGGGGGGCGGAATAAAGGAACCAGGGCTTCTTAGAGAAATGGCTGATTCCAGGTCTGGGGCAATAAATACACAAGATGAACCTGGAACATCTGACCATTCCAGAAAGTAAGGAAGTTATCACAGACAACCAATGTTGTGTCAAAAGAGTCAGGTGTCAACTTGAAAATGTTCCAATTGGCCAAAGATGGGACAGTTTGAGCAACAATAAGAATAAATACAGCGCTTCCCTGGTGGCGCAGTGGTTGAGAGTCCGCCTGCCGATGCACGACTAGGCCCGTGAGCCATGGCCGCTGAGCCTGTGCGTCCGGAGCCTGTGCTCCGCAACGGGAGAGGCCACAACAGTGAGAGGCCCGTGTACCAAAAAAAAAAAAAAAAAAAGAATAAATACAATTGTAGTTATGAAACCTATGAGGTCATAATGATATTAAAAACCGACTAACCAAACCTCATTAGTCATCGTTGGCAGATGTTAGGGAAACCAACTCATTATTTTAAAAACTGGAAGATAAGGGGAAAGAATTAATTCTGCTCCTATCTTGGAGTAATCAAAGTAGTTGCTGAAGAGTTTCTCTTTATAGAAGTATTTCAGTATCATTAGCATTTTGCTATAATTTATAACCCCTAATGAAGCAACAGATCTGGGCAAAGACTGGCAATATCACGAAAACAGAGACATCATGCACCTCCTGAAGGGAGTACACAGCACCATCTATGAGCTGGTCTTTCCCCTTCTGCCCCCCAAATTGAACTTAAACCTCATAATGTCTCTACAACTAACTACTGAATTGCAAGGAATACAGGGATCATAAGAACAGGTTAAATGACACCACAATGTTGAAATCAGCAAAATCCAGACTATGGACAAGTGTACAGGAAAAATGACCCAATTTCTTTAACAAATAAATTAAGAAAGCATTGCCAGAGAGATGGTTGACTTAGAAAAGAGTTTTCAGTGAGTGCTGATGGAGCTTTGATGAGGAAAAAAGATATTGGTCAAATG